TTTTTTTTTGCAATGAACAGAAATTTGTTGCTTGTTGTGAGGCTCACCGTTTGTTCATTAAAATTCCATTGTTTAAAGCATGTTTATGTCTATTTGCCATTATTAATTTATTATTATTATAGCATGTTTAGTCCTTTTTCTTTCTCTGAAATTGATGGGTTCATTGACCTTGTACGCATATAATTGGGAAAAATAGAACTAAATTTGCTATACATTTTTTTTTTCAGCAAAAAAAAAAATTTATTAGTGAAGTATAAAGGGTACTTATGCCCATTTATCTTATGATGTTCCATAAATTTGCTATACGTCTTGCTTTTTGTACAAAACGTCACCTTTAGGCCCGTGGCCCTCGTAGCAGCCTGTTAACTTGGTTAATTTTTGTCCTTTTTTGGAAGTAAAATTTAAGAATCTAAAGAGTTAAATGTTACATGTGTCCATATTTTGCAATTTGGATTGTATTATAGTATGTTCAATTTGAGAGAGGAGAAAAAAAAATTCTCCATTTGATTAAATGAAATTGGAGGTAAATGGAGGGGAATGGAAGGATACGGCATCCTTCCATTTACTTGCCCTTCTCCCCTCTCCCTTATGTTTTTCTTAAACTAGATATACGGTTAGTTTACAAAACAAAAATTGTTAAATTCAATAAATAGTTTATTAACTATATAATTTATTGAAGTTTAATTTAGAAACAATTTTTTCTTTCAAAATGATCTATAAACTATCAATTTTGTTTCAAAATGGTCTACTTGACTAACATTTCGTTAACTACTAACAGAATTATTTTTAGCTATTAACAAGCTGCCCCCTAAACTTTTAAAAAATATTAAATAGAGTACATATATTAAATGAGCAGCTGCACATAATTAAAATTACCTAAAAGAATTCATTTCAATTTTATAAATCCTCAAATTAAAATCATGCATGTATTACTAGTGTTAAAAATAAAATTGAAATTTTTTATTTTTCTACACAAAGTAGTAAAAAAATATGTAATTTAATAATAGTATTAAATTTTTTAAGAAATAATAAAATTTAAATATAATATTGATTGTTATAAATTAAAATTAGAATCTTGATAAATATAAATTAAAATTATTATCTTAATTAATTATTACATTTAACATTGAATTTAAACTTCAAAATCAAAATATTGCAAAAAATAAAAATCTATGTACTATATTTAATATTTTTCAAAAGTTTATGGGGCAGCTTGTCAATAGCTAAAAAGAATTCCATTAGTAGTTAACGGAATGTTAGTCAAGTAAACCATTTTAAAACCAAATTGATAGTTTATAGATCATTTTGAAAGAAAAAATTGTTTTTAGACTAAACTGAAATAAACCACATAATTAATAGACTATTATTGAATTTAACCAAACAAAAATTATATTAGATGGGATATTCACTTTTGTTTAATAGTTTAAAT